ACGCACCCCCACAGACGGCCCGGAGTTAATAAGCCACACGACAAAATCTTTGAAGATAAAGCTGGCAGCAACCCAGTGGCTAGCTGCCAATTCAGACTTTACTCACACAAAACAAAGATTAGATTGCAAGCATTCCGATAAAGCAGGCAAAGTTTCCGCAATACAAGGATTAGTCCAAATGCAGTCCGACAAGGCAGGCAGAAGTCCAGTAACGCAGTGATCATGGATTATTTCTAGTTTTTGCTCGTCACAAACTGAACCGGCCACCACACCCACATTTATACCCTGTGGGGTATGGTCCAGTGACTCAGCTAATCTCTGGCAAGCCTTCCCCTCTGCTGCGCACGCTTCTCCCTACGCCTCTTCCGAGGGTCCAGCCAGCACTTACCTCCTTCGTCGCTGTCCATCTGTGGCTGCAGGGATGTGCTTGGCTCTGGGTCTATCTCTTGGCCTTCGGTGTCCTCCGGAGGCATTGCCAGAGAGGAGGGTCCTGGAGAGGGAGGCCTTGCCAACTCCTCTCCCTCACTCTCGGAGTCTGCATCTGTCGATAGCCCAGGCTCAGGCAACGGAGCCACAACACCACCATCCATCTTAAGGTTGACAAAGTTTAAGAAACACCCACGATAGGCGAATTCTCTCAGGTGCCCGGCGTTTGACTGAACACAAGAACACATTCAGAAGTTAGTTTAATGTCTACTCTAATGAAAAGAAGGACTAGGGGTGACATGATATCAGTGTTCCAATATCTCAGGGGCTGCCACAAAGAAGACAGAGTCAAACTATTCTCCAAAGCCCCTGAGGGCAGGACAAGAAGGGAATGGACGGAAACTAATCAAGGAGAGAAGCAATTTAGAACTAAGGAGAAATTTCCTGATAGTTAGAACAATTGATCAGTGGAACGACTTGCCTCCAGAAGTTGTGAATGCTCCAACACTGGAAGTTTTTAAGAAGATGTTGGATAACCATTTGTCTGAAGTGGTGTAGGGTTTCCTGTCTAAGCAGGGGGTTGGACTAGAAGACCTCTAAGGCCCCTTCCAACTCTGTTATTCTAAATTCTAAAGTTGTTAGCCGTTTGATCTTGAGATAAAAGGTAAAAGTCGCATTACGATTGACCAGTAGATGGAGCAAGCGTGTTGCACACTTCTTTTTTTCACACCCACCTGATAGTGTTATCAGAATGGCAATCAGGGCATTGATGCTCTTTTAATCATGGGCAGTAGAGAACAAAACCCACAGGAAAATCTCTTGTGTCCTCTGTTGCAAGAGTTTCTCTGGAAGTCCAGAAAAAGACCAGAATGGAAAATGATGGAAATGATCACAGCTTTTAATCTTTCCGGGAGCTGGCATGGTTTTGCAGTGATTGACATTTAGAGTATCTGCATCAGTGGTGAAATCCAAATTTTTTTTACTACTGGTTCTGTGGGCATGGCTTGGTGGGCGTGGCAGAAGGATACTGCAAAATCTCCCTTCCCACCTCACTCCAGGGGAATTATACTGCAAAATCTCCATTCCCATCCCACTCCAGGGGAAGGATACTGCAAAATCTCCACTCCCGCCCCACTCCAGGGGAAGGATACTGCAAAATCCCCATTCCCACCCCACGCTAGGGGAATTATACTGCAAAATCCCCATTCCCATCCCACTCCAGGGGAAAGATACTGCAGAATCTCCATTCCCTTCCACTCCAGGGGAAGGATACTGCAAAATCTCCACTCCCGCCCCACTCCTGAGGGAAGGATACTGCAAAATCCCCATTCCCACCCCACGCTAGGGGAATTATACTGCAAAATCCCCATTCCCATCCCACTCCAGGGGAAAGATACCGCAAAATCCCCATTCCCACCCCACTCCAGAGGAAGGCTACTGCAAAATCCCCATTGCCTCCCCACTCCTGGAGGAAGGATATTGCAAAATCCCTATTCCCACCCCACTCTGGGGGCCAGCCAGAGGTGGTATTTGCTGGTTCTCTAAACTACTCAAAATTTCTGCTACCGGTTCTCCAGAACCTGTCAGAACCTGCTGGATTTCACCCCTGATCTGCATAATTCTAGAAACAATGGCAGTTCAGCCACTCAATAATTTAAGCCATGGCCAACACAGACCCAACATTGGGAGGAGTGGGGGATTTTGTTCACTCTTGAGGAAAGTCTTTTGGCATCAAAAGAGGCACGAAAGAGGAAGGAAAGGTGAAAAGGGCAAGACACGTCCTAAAACGGGACAAAACCGCCTTGGCAAATTTCTCCCTTAGCGACTTGAACTTTGGGCCTCAATTGCGGTCGTATGTCGAGAACTACCTATACAAGAGCAGTATTAATGACTTTAGCATCTGACCAAGTAGAAAAGCAAACAAAGGGAAAACATTTGTTATGCAAATGAAGGCTCTGGTTAATTTGCATTGAAAAAGGGAAGGATTCGGTATGACCCAAAGTTGACTTTGCCTCAACTTCCTTGTGAGTAAAAGTCTGTGGAGATTCTCAGTCATTCAGGTCACGCTTGTCCCAAAGGTATTTTTTCAAGAGGCGACTGGACTTTCTTGTTTTTTTTTCTTTTGAAGACATTTCGCTCCTCATCCAAGAAGCTTCTTCAGCTCTGACAGGATGGTATGGAAGTTACTGAGGTTGGCTGGGGGAATTCTGGGAGTTGAAGTCCACCTGTCTTAAATGTCTGTGGAGATTCTCCATCATCCAGGTCCTGGTTGTCCCAAAAATGCTTTTTCAGGAGGCAAGTGGACTTTTTCTTGTTTTTTTTTTCTTTTGAGGACCTTTCGCTTCTCATCCAAGAAACAAAACAAAACAGAGCTGAAGAAGCTTCTCGGATGAGAAGTGAAATGTCTTCAAAGAAAAAAAAAACAGAAAGTCCAGTGGTCTCTTGAAAAAAAATGCACCTTCGGGACGATTTATGAAAAGAGTTTCAAAAACGCCACCAAAGGATTACCCAGAGACAGATATGGACCTGGTGGCTCAGCAGACTGAGAGCATTGTGATTAACACCAGCTGCCTGCAATTACTGCAGGTTCGAATCTCACCAGGCTCAAGGTCGACTCAGCCTTCCATCCTTTCTAAGGTAGGTAAAATGAGGACCCAGATTGTGGGGGCAATAAGCTGACTTTGTATAAATATACAAAAGTATGAAGGCTATTGCTTAACGCATTGTAAGCCGCCCTGAGTCTCCGGAGAAGGGCAGCATATAAATCAAATTAAAAAAAAAAAAAAAAAGATATGGAAGGAAATCCCTTCAAAAACTCTACATCCAAACTTCCAGAGCCTCGTGGATATAAGATGTAGGTGTTCCTCATCTTATGACCGCCATGGAGCCCCAAAATCTCTCTTGTTAAGCGAGACAGTTGTTCAGTGAGTTTTGAGAAGCTTGGATTCTTGGATGAGAAGCGAAAGGTCTTCAAAAGGAAAAAAAAACCAAGGAAGTCCAGTTTGTTTGTTTGTTTGTTTGTTTATTGGTTCGATTTATATGCCGCCCTTCTCCGGAGACTCAGGGCGGCTTACAATGCGTTAAGCAATAGCCTTCATACTTTTGTATATACCTGCTTCGTAGGGCTTTCGGGCCCCTCCTAAGCGGTGTTCTTTTTTTGATATACAAAGTCAGCTTATTGCCCCCACAATCCGGGTCCTCATTTTACCTAACTCGGAAGGATGGAAGGCTGAGTCCACCTTGAGACTGGTGAGATCTGAACTGTAAGAGCCTTGGTGGCGCAGTAGACTAAACTGCTGTTAAAGTAGCACTTAGTTGCCAGCTGCCTGCAATTACTGCGAGTTCAAATCTCACCAGGCTCAAGGTTGACTCAGCCTTCCATCCTTCCGAGGTAGGTAAAATGAGGACCCGGATTGTGGGAGCAATAAGCTGACTTTGTATAAAAAAGAACACCGCTTGGGGGGGGCCAAAAGCCCTACTAAGCAGGTATATACAAAAGTATGAAGGCTATTGCTTTAGCCTTAACGCACTGTAAGCCGCCCTGAGTCTCCGGAGAAGGGCGGCATATAAATCGAACTAATAAATAGATAGATAGATAGATAGATAGATAGATAGATAGATGGATGGATGGATGGATGGATGGATGGATGGATGGATGGATGGATGGATGGATGGATGGATGGATGGATGGATGGATAGATAGATAGATAGATAGATAGATAGATAGATAGATAGATAGATAGATAAATAAATACATGAATGAATGAATAAATAAATAAATAAATAAATACATGAATGAATAAATAAATAAATAAATAAATACATGAATGAATAAATAAATAAATAAATAAATACATGAATGAATGAATGAATGAATGAATAAATAAATAAATAAATAAATAAATAAATAAATAAATAAATAAATAAATAAATAATTGCAGGCAGCTGGTGCTAGTTAACAGCACTTTAGTCTGCTGCGCCACCAAGGCTCAATTGCCTCCTGAAAAAGCCCCTTTGGGACTGATGTCCTTGTGAGTAACTCAGGTGGGGATCCTGAGTCCTCTTCCCCTTCAGTAACTCCTCCTGGGATTTTTTTTTTTTTGGGTGGGGGGGCTTGGGAAAAAAAAAAACCAACATCCCAAATCTACCTGGCAAAAAACAAACAAAGCACAGAGAGATTGTTGATTGGTGGTTATTGATGTTTTTTCTAACAAACAAACAAAACTTGGCTCCTTCCTTTCATCCTTTGTCGGCTGAGGTTCACACACACACACACACACACACACACACACACACACACAAACCCAACAACAACAAAAACAAAAACAACAAAAACAACAACAAAGTGACCCCGGCTCGCTTGCAAGAAAAGAAGGGGCCCGATTCTCTCCAAAGCCCCGCGCTCCAAAGACTTCGCAAAACTTTTCCAACTCCGTCCCCCCCCCCCCCGCCACAAACTCGTCTGGGTGCCCACGTGACGCCCGCTGCCCAATGAGGGCCGGTCATTCGGACAGGGCTCCTGCGAAAAGAGGCAGAATCGGAGAGAGAAAGGGAGGGAGGGAGGGAGGGAGAGGCAGAAAGAGAGAGAAAGAGAGAGAGAGAAAGAAAGAGGGAGAGAGAGGCAGAAGGAGAGAGAGAAAGTGGGAAAGAGAGAGAGAGAGAAAGTGGGAAAGAGAGAGAGAGAGAGAGGCAGAAAGAGAGAGAGAGAAAGAGGGAGAGACAGAGAGAGAGGCAGAAAAAGAGAGAAAGTGGGAGAGAGAGAGGCAGAAAGAGAGAGAGGCAGAAGGAGGGAGAGAAAGTGGGAGGGAGGGATTGAGTAGCAGAAAGAGAGAGAAAGTGGGAGAGACAGAGAGAGAGAGGCAGAAAGAGAGAGAAAGAGGGAGGGAGAGAAAGTGGGAGGGAGGGAGAGAGAGAGTGGCAGAAAGAGAAAGTGGGAGAGACAGAGAAAGAGTGGGAGAGAGAGAGAGGCAGAAAGGGACAGAGAAAGTGGGAGGGAGAGAGAGAGAGAAAGTGGGAGAGAGAGGGGACAGAGAGAGAGGCAGAAAGGGAGAGACAGAAAGAGAGAGGGGGAGAGAGGCAGAAAGAGAGAGAAAGTGGGGGTAAAGAGAGAGAGAGAGAGAAAGAGACAAAGACAGAGAGGCAGAAAGAGAGAGAAAGTGGGGAGAGAGAGAGGCAGAAAGAGAGAGAGAAAGAGGGAGGGAAAGAGAGAGAGAGAGACTGACTGACTGACTTAGTTCCGGGGATGGCAGAACGCGATCCACAGCCGACTTTGATTCCGGAACGATCCCGAGACGACAGGTGAGTCGACTGCTTCGCTCTGCGCGATTTTTGTCCCCTTTCTCTCTCTTTCTGCCTCTCTGTCTCTGCCTCTCTCTTTCTCTCTCTCTTTCTCTTTCTCCCCCCCACTTTCTCTCTCTTTCTGCCTCTCTCTGTCCCCTCTCTCTCCCACTTTCTCTCTCTCCCTCCCACTTTCTCTCCCCCCCTCTCTTTCTTTCTTTCTTTCTTTCTTTCTTTCTTTCTTTCTTTCTTTCTCCTGCTGGGTGAAGTCCCGCGGATCACCTGTCCACCCTTCCCTGCCTGCCCACCTGAATCTTGCGGGAGAACCCGGGATCCTTTTTCTTCCTGGATTCCTTTCTTCCTGGCGCCGCGGGGGATTTCACTTTCTCCAAAGTAAGTCGCGAGGAATCGACCTCGGTTTCTAACTAACCTTCTGATTCCGGCGCCGGTCGCTCGTTCGAGTCCAACGGCCGGGCAGGTAGACTGCAGCTGGCAGGGCAGGCTTCAAGCCCAGTCCCTCGACTTACGACGACTACAAGGGAGCCCGACATTTCCGTTGTTCAGTCAGACGTGTTGTTAAGTGAGTTCTGCCCCGTTTGATGACCTCTCGCGCCGCCGTTGTTAAGTGAGTCAGCCGGGTGTTAAGGGAACCTGTCTTGAACATTGACTTGGCTTGTCAGAAGGTGGCAGAGGAGGATTACGTGATCTCGGGACACAGCGACCGTCATAAGTAGGAAACTCCAGTGGCCATACGGCTGGATTTTGGTGACGTTACCACGGAGGAGGCTTCAAAGGTCGTCGTAACTGTGGAAAAATGGGTCATAAGTCCCTTTGTTCAGTGCCGTTGAAACTTCGGTCTCTAAGTGAACTGTCAGAAATGGGGTAGGGTCTCCTGCTTGGGGGGTGGGACTAGATGACCTCTGAGGTCCCTTCCAACCCCCCTGTTCAAGCAGGAGAGCCTATAGCACTTCAGACAAATGGATGTCCAGTCTCTTCTTCAAAACCTCCAGCGATGGAATAATTCACAACTTCTGGTGGCAAGTTGTTCCACGGATCAATTATTAGTTGTTTCGCACTTCAACCAGGATTGGAAAATTTGGGGAATTGTTCAGAGGAACGACTTAAACCCTGGGAGCTGCTTCACCTGGACAGGTAGTCCTGGACTTAACGGTCAAAACGGAGCCCCAAATTTCTCGTCGTTAAGCGAGACATTCGTTAAGCGTGTTTTCCCCCAAACTCCTTTTTCCCAGAGTTGTTAAGTGAACCTGGCTTCCCCCCCCCCCCCCCCCGGAATTGGCTTGTCCGATGGTCGCAAAAGGGAATCGCATGACCTTGGGAATACTTCAACCGTCGTAAATGTGAGTCAGGCATGCGAACACAGATCGCATGCAGTGGGAAGTTTTCACTGCCGTTGTAACTTTTTTTTTTTTCATAAATTTTTATTATAGTTCAAAAACAAAAACAAAAACAAATGTATAATAGTTTTTCTATCACGGCGTAACATCACCAAAATATCCATGTATATATATACACACCAATAATCAGAAAGTAAAAATAGAAACTATTTACAGATTCTTATGTACAAATTTACATTTCCAATACTTATTGATTACCATAATTATACCATCATCTATAATTATAATCCAACATTATCCTTTATCTCTCTCGTTTCTGGATCCAACTGCCGTCTGTAACTTTGAATGGTCACTAAATGAACGGTTGTAAACCGAGGACTAGCTGTACTCAAAGTCCCGGAGAAACATTCGGTGCCAGCTCCATTGTTAGAATCCCTGAAACTAAACAAATATAAGTGTCGCCAAAGGGAGTTGGCCACGGGCGTTAGAAGGCATTGTCGCAACCGATTCGGCTTGGTTGGGCCAAAACTCACAACAAGCTGAGTTCCAGTTGTGAAGCTGTGAAGTCGGCTCGCAAATCGCGCAGAAAGACGGATTCTAAATCCGTCTTTCTGACGGGTAGTAGGGGGTGGAGTGGGGAATAACCCTTGTCTGATAGCGAATCATACCTACGACGCCGAAAGTGTCGATTCTTGGCGTGAATTGCCGGGACAGAAAAGTGTGTCACAGGGGAAAAGAAAGTGCTGGGACCAAGTGCCCTTGTCCGCTTAACGGCTGCAGGACCTAAACAAAGTAAGAGTTGGAAGGGACCTTGTGGGTCATCTAGTCCAACCTCCTGCTCAAGCAGGAGACCCTGGACCAGGGGTGAAATCCAGCAGGTTCTGACAGGTTCGGGAGAACCCGTAGCGGAAATTTTGAGCAGTTCGGAGAACCGGTAGCGGAAATTTTGAGTAGTTCGGAGAACCGGCAAATACCACCTCTGCCTGGCCCCAGAGTGGGGTGGGAATGGGGATTTTGCAGTATCCTTCCCCTGCCACACCCAACAAGCCATGCCCGCAGAACTGGTAGTAAAAAAATTTGGATTTCACTACTGCCCTAGCCCAGGGATCAGCAATCCGCAGCTCTGGAGCCGCATGTGGCTCTTTTATCCCTCTGCTGCGGCTCCCTGTTGCCGGTCGGCTTCACAATTGATAGGGCTTTTGGTTAGGACAGGTAGAGGAAAAAGGATGCCACGCTAGGAGGAGACTCTATGGTGGGGGAACCGGACTTCCGGTCGGCTCCAGAATTGAACGGGGGCTTCCGGTTAGGACCTTTGTAGCTCTTTGAGTGTTTAAGGTTGCCGACTCCTTCCTTAGCCTGTACTATTTCTGACAGATGGCAGTCCAGTCTCTTCTTGAAAGCCTCCAGTGATGAAGCACCCACAACTTCTGGAGGCCAACCGTTCCATGGTTGATGGTCAGAAAATTTCTCCTTATTTCTAGGTTGAGTCTCTTCTTGAAGAGTTTCCATCCATTGTTCCTTGTCTGGCCTTTGAAGACCCCTCTTCTTCGTGGCAGCCCCTCAAATATTGGAAGACTGCTATCATGTCAACCCTGGTCCTTCTTTCCGTCGAACTAGACGTACCTAGTTCCCTCAGCCATTCATCTTATGGTTTAACTTCTAGCACCCAAAGCATCTTTCAAAGAACATAGAAGTATAGATGGGACCTTTGGAGCAGTGGTGAAATCCAACTTTTTTGGATTTCGGTTCTGTGGGCATGGCTTGGTGGGCGTGGCAGGGGAGGGATACTGCAAAAATCTCCATTCCCACCCCACTCCATGGGAGGGATACTGCAAAATCCCCATTCCCTCCCCACTCCAGGGGAAGGATACTGCAAAATCCCCATTCCCACCCCACTCCAGGGGAAGGATACTGCAAAATCCCCATTCCCTCCCCACTCCTGGGGGAAGGATACTGCAAAATCTCCATTCCCACCCCACTCCAGGGGAAGGATACTGCAAAATCTCCGTTCCCTCCCCACTCCAGGGGAAGGATACTGCAAAATCCCCATTCCCTCCCCACTACTGGGGGAAAGATACTGCAAAATCCCCATTCCCTCCCCACTCCTGGGGGAAGGATACTGCAAGATCTCCATTCCCACCCCACTCCAGGGAAAGGATACTGCAAAAATCTCCATTCCCACCCCACTCCAGGGGGAAGGATATTGCAAAATCTCCATTCCCACCCCACTCCTAGGGGAAGGATATTGCAAAATCTCCATTCCCACCCCACTCCAGGGGAAGGATACTGCAAGATCCCCATTCCCTCCCCACTCCTGGGGGGGAGGATATTGCAAAATCTCCATTCCCACCCCACTCTGGGGCCAGCCAGAGGTGGTATTATTTGCCGGTTCTTCCGAACTACTCAAAATTTCCGCTACCGGTTCTGCAGAACCTGACAGAACCTGCTGGATTTCACCCCTGCTTTGGAGGTCTTCTATTCTGCGCGAGCAGGAGACCCTACACTACTTCAGACAAATGGTTATCCAACATATTCTTAAAAACTTCCAGTGTTGGAGCATTCACAACTTCTGGAGGCAAGTTGTTCCACTGATTAATTGTTCTTACTGTCAGGAAATTTCTCCTTAGTTCTAGGTTGCTTCTCTCCTTGATTAGTTTCCACCCATTGCTTCTTGTCCTGCCTTCAGGGGCTTTGGAGAATAGCTTGACTCCCTCTTCTTTGAGGCAACCCCTGAGATATCAGAATACTGCTCTCATGTCTCCCCTAGTCCTCCTTTTCATTAAACTAAACATACCCAATCCCTGCAACCGTTCTTCATATGTTTTAGCCTCCAGTCTCCTCATCGTCTTCGTTGCTCTTCTCTGCACTTTTTCTACATTTTTTTTACAGCGTGGTGACCAAACGTTTCTCACCTTTGAAGTTCCTCATACTGAAGAAGGGTGCGATTCGAAGTGGTTCTCCTAAAGGTAGCCCTCGACTTCATTTAGTGACCGTTCGAAGTTAGAACAGCACTGAAGAAAAGTGACGTATGACTGGGTTTGGCGCTTCGGACCATGGTCATGTGATTCCCCGTAGTCACATGATCGAAATTCGGGGGCTTGTGATCGGTCACCATTTATAACCTTCCCGACTGGCTTCCGACGAACCGAGTCAATGGGGGAAAGCCAGATTCACTTAAGAACCGCAGGGCTTCGTTGAACAACTGTGTTAAAAAGGTCGCTCAACCCTCTTAGCGACTGTCTTGCTTAACCACAGACAATTTGGGGTTCCGTTGTGTTTGTAAGTCGAGGACTTAGAATGAACTTGTTTTACGTCATGTTAGAGGTGGCTTCCTTTGAATCAGGAACCTCTAAACCTTTTGCGATCACACCAGAGGTGGATTTCAGCAGGTTCTGACCGGTTCTGAAGAACCGGTAGTGGAAATTTTGAATAGTTCAGAGAACCGGTAGTAAAAATTATGACTGGCCCCGCCCCCATCTATTCTCTGCCTCCCGAGTCCCAGCTGATCGGGAGGAAATGGGGATTTTGCAGTAACCTTCCCCTGCCACGCCCACCAAGCCATGCCACGCCCACCAAGCCACACCCACAGAACCATTTTGAAACCCAGCACTGGATCATACCTCGTTTAGGTGTCGCCTTAATGCGCACCTCCTCCTCTGCAAATCC